TTCAAACGTGTCACAAGAAAGATTAAGTAATTTGACTATATTATCAATTGAAAAAAATTTAGTTTCTAAACTTGAATACAAAAATTTAATTAGTGGTTTTTCATTTCAAAAAGTAAGAAAAATAATTTTTTTTAATAGGTGTTCATATTATTAGAGGGCCACCAAAATAACTATTGCCTAGGGTCACAAATATTCTGGAGACTACCTTGACTACTAGGTCAATTTCTTGAATTTAATCATATTGTTGATGTATAATGATTAAATTCTATGTTTGTGAATCATATATATAGTATTAATATTTAAAACATGACTTAAAAAAAAAAAGATTGTTGGTGTGTGAAGTTTTTTACAGTAATGTATTATAATGTGGTTTTATGATATGCTATGTTAAAGAAATATAAAGAGAAAATTTAAAATAAAAAAAAATGTGGATCGAATTGGATAGTCAATGGATACCCTTAGTTTTAAATAGCTGTGTTAAAAATCAAGCAAATTTGTCTTTGCCCCTCCCAGCTAAGGTTGAGCACTATTTAGATAAAATCGAAAAACCAAATCAAACAAAACATAATTTATTATAACATGGTTTTATGATATGCTACGTTAAATAATTATAAAGAGAAAATTAAAAATTAAAAAGATGTGGATTAAATTTGATAGTCAATGTCGATCGTCCAGCTATTGGTGAATGCTATTTGGATAAAATCGAAAAATCAAATCGAACATAACATAATTAATAATTTCGCTTTGCTTTTGTATAAAAAAAATTAAAAAAAAATTGAAATCGTAAACTGAAATTATTTTGGTTTGATTCTTTTTTTTTTAATTTTGTTTTCTATTAAAAATCGAATTAGTGTTTTTTTTTCCTAACTTTTGCCATGCATTTCAAAACACATAGATGCCTTTTTTTTAAAAAAAAAAAAACTAAAATGGGTGATAAAAAGCAATTAATTCGGTTTTAAAAAGAAAAATACAAAAAATAAAAAATAAAAAAAATCAGTTTTTAATTGAAACCCAAAAGATTAAATAAAAAAATTTGATTTTTTAATTGAAAAATCTAATCTCAATTCGATTTTAATTTTGATTTTAGTAAATTTAATTAATCAAAAATAAAAAGAAAAAAAATCAAAATTGAACAGAAAAATCGAATAACCACCCTTGCTCCTAGCCAAAAAGTTTGAGCTTTTAATGACATTGTTCGAAAGCAGTAATTTGTGGAGGAAGAGTAATTAATTAACGATTTTATTCGAATTTTTCTATTTATTAAAAAGTCAGAAAATGAGACAGCAACATCTGATGGGCACGTGTAGATGCGGGCCCACAGAAAGAAAGTACCTGTCCTGTCCTGTAGTGTAACGTGTGGCGTTATCCGGATAGAAGGAAGGAAATAAAGAAAGAAAACCATAGATATACGGGCGGTGTCACTGTCATGGACCTGAAAAAAACTAAAGGGGGTCCCACTTCACATACATCCTCCATCTCCATGCTTTTGCTGCTTATCTGTACTGTACTGTTGTAAATTGTAATATAGCTACAGAACAAAACTCTAAGCATACGTGTCATAATATTATTAAATGTCAGTGGTGGGTCCCATAATCTTTTGACCCTGATCATCAGCCAATCTAATCAGGAGATCGCACGCCACGTGCCCCCATATGTCCACATCGGTGGGGCTCAGCGAGGAGAGATTCCAAATGGGGTTGCTTAGTGGACGCTGTCTTCGATAGTGATGCTCCTGTTTCGACGGCATCGTGACAGTCCACGTGGAGCGCATATGTTGAAAGCCCACCAATGTGGTTTTAGATGGTCGGTAAGAAACCAGGAAAAGGGCCCCCCGTTCCTCCAGAATGAGACACCTGCCAACGTTTAACTGGCTGGGATAAATATGCCGTAATGAGAAAGTTACAAGTTACAAGTTACAACCAATTATTTTTTTGTAAATGATTTTTTTGAAAACAAAACTCACTTGAATTTCCCAGTCTAAAAGCCATCGGATTAAGATCAAAGAGGTAGACAGGCTCAGTCTTGATACGCCCTGGCTGAAGATTGATGATAAATAAAAATCAGGGTTTTAAAGAGATTTTCCATATTATTGACTGTTTTCGTTTTTCCATTTTTGTTTTTGAATTTGGAAATTTTTTTCTTCTAATTGAGGAAAAGAAGAAGAAGAAGAAGAAGAAGAAGCAAAACCATCAACAAGTTACTTTCAAACGTTTTTTTCCCCTAGTAAGTTACTTTCTAATTTATAATTCATTAGTGTAGTGACAGAATCAGCTGTATACGTGCCAAATTCACATTAATCAGCAATTCTAATAAATTTGATTGGAATGGTGTTTATAATTTAATAAAAGGAGAAAAAGGCTAAAGCCATTTGATGCCTACGTTTTGCTTAAATAAAACAAAAGCAAGTGGAACAAGCACCAATATGCGTTTTGACTTTTGTAAGCATTTCTAAACAAACTGTTTGAGGTAGAAAAACATACAAGTTATAAGACTATTTACGAGGAAAAACTATTCAACCGTTGCCCATATATGTTGCTTTTCGGAAAATGTTATATATATATATCGGATCTTTATAATATAGTTTTTGGTCATTTGAACTCTTCTATCTAATTTTATTGCAAACCAAATTCTGTATTAATAAAGTTAAAAACATATCAGTTTACTTATGTCTGTTCAATTAAAAGCTCGATCCATCCTTGAAAATATAATTTCAAAAAGAGATATATTTTTTTATTTTTTAAATAATAAATCTTTTTCTAAAAATCAAAAAAATCAAAATTTTTATTTTAAATATAATTAATTATTTTAAAATACTCAAAACTTTTGTTTTAAAATGAAAATAAAAAATTAATTATTATTTAACAATAAAAATAAATAAATAAGAAAAAATAATTACTTGTTTATAGTTTAAAAATAATAAATAATAAATATTTTTTCTTTTTCTATTAATTTATTTTTATTTTAAATAATGGTTGATTTTTTTATTATTTTCAATTTTTAGAAAAGTTTATTCTTTTTAAATTAAAATTTCAAGTATGTGTTGTCACATGCCCGCATATAATTGAATAATTGATGCAATTAATTTAGTTAGATAATAAAATTGGATGGAATGGCCAGCATATTTCAACCTTTTGAGTTTAGAATTTTGTTTATATTAAAATTAAATAGAGTTTTTGGAATGATAAAAAATTAGTGTTATAAGAACACAAGATTATTAAGTCTCGCTTTCTATATAATATTAGACTTAAGCTGGCATATAAATAAGTTTTTACAAAGATAAGCGTGAATGAATATCAGCATTATATATATATATATAGTTGAGTGATGTTGATTTCTTGTGCTGTGCGTGATGTTGAATATCTGTGCTTAATATTGATGTGGTAGGAATTTCTCTATGAAACTTACCCCTCCACGCAACCACTCTACAAAAACTTTTCCGCCACTACTGATTCTCAGATAAAGATGCTCCGAATTTACCAAATTATATCATATTTAAGGCTACTATTTTCCTAATTACTATCATGACACAATCTGTAACCCTAACACACACCCCCACCCCCCCCACACACACACTATTATACCATATATAGGACAAATATTTATGTGATACTGGCAACCTAATTTGACTAGCACCAGTCTAGCTAGTTCCAGATCCACCTGCCCTTCAATTTTCTTGATCCATGTTCATAACCTTGACAAATTAAAACTAACTGGAAATTGTTCAGTTCGATAAGCAAAAAATTAATTAATTAGATATAATAAGTTCTCATAGGAACTGGTGAGGAAGAGGTCAAGCCAGGGAACATATGCCATATCCTTTCCAGCTTTAATTAGTTTTTTCAATTCTGTTAATCTCTTTTTGTGCAATATTTATATGCCAAAAGAGGATAGAACGAAAAAAATTAACAAATTCTTGCCAATTAATGAGAATCAAGTCTGATGGCTGACTCTTCCATAAAACCAAATTTATTGATTAACTTGCAATTAATCTCGTAACAAGGTATGATAAAACAAGATAATATAACCGGATTTTGAATTGACAGAATGAGAAAGGGAGAGAGATCATATTCCTTATTCCCTTACCTCTCATCTTATTATCTATCCACTAGGGGGAAAAAAATTCTTTGCCACATACAAAACCTTTTTTATAGTCTGAAAAAGCTACACAGACGATTATTATTTTCAAGAAACACTGAAACATTGAAAATTTCCATGCCTCCAGAATAAGGTGACAAAGAAACTCAGAATTAACGGATAAAAAAACACCCATCGAGACAACATGCTTAAATTCCAGCTTTTTTTTCAAAACTTGGCAGTCACCTCCATTTTATTGTTTTACTTTCTGTAACTAAATTAAGTAAACAGAAACTTTTTCTTTTCCATAATGATAATAATAAAAAAGCGAAGTGACCATATTGAAAAAATTCGGACAACTATATAAACCCAGAAGGCCAAGGCCAGAAACCATTAAGGAATCTATGCATGTCGATTCATCCATGTATTGTTTGGACCACCATAAACATCCTTTCGGAAGATGAACCAAAACACGAGTTTTTATTCTGTCATAATAACCTTGGTGACCAGGACGGCCGGATGTCTAAAAATAAACATGCGAACCTAAACACAAAGCACTTGATCATGTTAAAGTCAGTCTCCAAGAGTGAGTTAACCAATGAGTTAAACGTGGCAATCAAGAAACAGTTTCGTCAGACTATTTCGAATACAAGAAATACTGTACCTGCCCAAACACACTTTTAAGGAAATTTAGTTACAACTGGTTCAGAAAGTTCCATCTAATTCAAAAAAAAGAAAAAAAGAAAAAAAAAGAGCACCCCAAGAAAACTAAAGATTACAAATGGGGCAAAGACCATTTCCAACTACAACTAGAAGAACCCAACACCAAATTGGATTGGGGCACCGTGATTGGATTTATTGCTTAATGCATAACAAGCTGTAAACAAGAAGAACTACGGAAACGATGTTATATTACCAAGAGTAACTTAGTATGACCAGCACCAAAAGGCATGATCTTCAAAACTTGCAGGTGGGTCAGAGTAATCATCATCTTCAAGCTTTGGAAAGACATATGGAGGCAATAGGCTTTTGCCCAAGTTATCTTCTTCATCTTGTGATAAATCTGATTGGTCTGGTTCGAAAACATATGAAGAATCACCAGCCTCTAAGAGTGAAGAATGCACCCCATCAGCATAATGTGGGCTGTCCGAATCAAATATGTCACTTTTGGCTGAGCTAATATCATCCTGCTTACAGGCCACAGTTGAAATTTTCGACACTTCACCATCGGAAGCTGAATCAGCTACTGCCTTTTTAGGTGGCTCTTGCGATAATGCATCTTTATCAGACAATTCTGAGCTTCCCTTCTCAGTCTCTTGGAGAAGCAATTTGTCGGTGAGAAGATTAACCTGAAAACAATTAAACCATAGTTCAATCTTATTTCACTTCAATGCTAAAGGAACTATGACAGCAAGGTTGTTGAATTCTCTAACAAGGATGGTGTTTGTTTACCTCAGCTTTTAGTTTCTCCTTCTCCTTGAGGACCTTGTCATAGTCAGCCTTAAGGCTATTGTAGCTAGATTGCAGAACATCATAATCTTTTTCCAGCTGTTTTGTCTTCCATCTAGCTCGGCGGTTTTGAAACCATATGGCAACCTGCCGAGGCTGCAGGCCAAGATCCTTTGCAAGTTGGATTTTCCTTTCCGGTTCAAGCTTGTTCTCGACCTCAAAACTCTTTTCCAGAAACTGAACTTGATCAACAGTAAGTCTCCTCTTCTTCTCAGGTTGATGAAAATATTCATCCAAATCATCGTCTCCATTGTCTTCGTGATCGAATGAGCGGAAAAATGGTCTACTTGATCCGTTTGCTTGATGAACATCTTCAAAACTCATCATGGATCGTGAACCTAAATCATTAGAACTCAATAATTAGAAGATCGCATTTCAATCAATCACAAGAACTACATATACAAATTAGTACTAATTTATGCAGCACAATCACTTTCGGTTCAATTGTTTTCGATCTTACAGGGTTTTTCTTTTATTTTCTTTTCGCTCACGTTGATCCATGTTGAATAATTGTTATACACGGATGAATACTTGAACATGTTCTTCTCTCATAATTTTTCAGAAAAAAAGAAACTGAAAAAAAAAAAAAATAAACCAGGAAAGCTCCATTGAATATATGTATAAGCCGGATATTAGTTGCACTCAGATATAAGAATCTTATATAAGTGATCAATTAGAGAAATCTGATTGATATTTTGAGCATCATTGACATACAAAATTAGGAAAACCAATCATCAAATTACGAAGTAAAGACAGGATATAAAGGTAACTGAGGTTCTAAAGACCAATTTTTTTTTTTTACCTCCTTAATTATGTAATAAATTTTGATTTATCTAAAACAAGTTTAAAACACCAGGAATTGGAATTGACCATCAATTATACTGAAACAGAAATTAAGACCCCCAAAAAACAAAAAAAACCCAAGACAGTATGTAAAACAGATAGGGAGAATTAGAAAGAATACCAAGAAAAGAGGGAGAGGAGCCAGAAAGAAAAAAGCTTCAAGAGGCTGGGAAGCAGTAGAAAGGCCTCTTTGGCTTTGCAGTAAAACAGACAAATTGGAATTAGAACCACCGGCACCACAGGCACCACCCGCCATGCTTTTGTAAAACTTTTCCTGCTGCTACAGGTTTGATCAAGCTGCCATCACAGCTATATTATATGTATATGTCTGGTCACACAATAAAAGACTCAGATTCCAGGACTGAATGATCTCTATTTTCTTCTTGTCTTTAATCTCAGTCTTAAGGTTTGTGGCGAAAGAAACTGGTGATGATAATTTCTGTGATGTGGGAAGTGTGGGAGCACCGGGAGCAGCTCACACCCATCACTCAGAAGAAGGAAATTTTGCTTTCAGAAGGAGAGAGAGGTTTGGACTGTTTTTCAGTAGGAGAGGTGCTAACAGAGGGCGAAGAAGGAGAAGGGAAACAATCTCAGTCTTTTTTGTTTTCCCTTTCCAGGAGAAGCGAAGGAGTAGTCTGTGAGACAGCAGAGAAGAAGTGAAATCTGAAAGAAAGATTCTTCTTTCTTCGTAGAGTTCGATGGGATTATAATAGTCCAGAGACAAACATGGTGCGCTTTCGTACTTACGTGTTTGCCCCTCCCACCCTTGCCCTATAAAATTATACATCTTGCAACCACGCAACTCAACTTTAAAATTGGGTATTCTTTTTATATTAAATCTTGGATTCAAATTAGAGTAATCATCAGTGGTTAGTTTTTATCTATTTTAATTTTCATAATGGTTCTCTCACTAGTTTTCAAATATTAAGATTAAAAAAATAATTATTAATCAAATGGTAAGAAGAAGATTTATTAGATTATATAAGTTGTATTTGTAAAAACGTAACAATGAAAATTTTTCTAAATATATGTTGATGTGAAAAATAAAATATTGCACATCGAATATGTCATCAACAGACTTCTACATCCATTTCATGACTAAAAAACCATTGAGATTACCAAAATCAAAAGAATTAGTGAATTAATTATATTAAATCATAGGTGACTAGGTTATAATTTGCTATGCGGTAAGAACTGAAAAAAGGATAAGGATAAGATAGTAATATAAAAATGTTAAGATGGAGGAGTTGTAGATGACAACGAGGCAGAAGAAGGCGAAGGTAAAAACAAAGGAATCCTGTCCTAATCAAAGTCGTTTTCAATCGCAGGTGGCGAGTTTCACTCGTCCTCGCCTCCTCCTTGACCTGGGCGGCTGGTCCTATCTTTTACTTCTCTAGCATATAGGATCCTGGACAGATATTGGAATAGGATAAAAGTTCAATTTTTCGGTTGGGTTTGTAGATAGGAAGTAAAATTGGCTAAATTTATATATGGAAACACAAGGAGATAGGATATAAATGAAGATTTTTTTTTCTCAATACCCTTTTTTAGACCAAGTCTCTCTCTATTTATATTTCTAATTATTTCTAATTTATTTTTGAACGGATATGCTTTCATATGAAAAACTCCAACCCCAGATGATCTATTAAAGAACTAAATAAAGAAGAAAAATTCAACTTTTAATACCATTTGATAATCTTTTTTATCTTTTAATTTAAGTTTTTTCGTGTGAAGGTACTTTCAGCAATAAATTAAAGAATAACCTAAAATACAAAGACAAATTATAAATAATTAGACTAAGATTACATATTGAAAACTGAACTTAAAATATAAAAACAAGTTACAATAATTGTTTTCAATTAGAACATTCTTGAATTGTTCAGTCTTGTTATCTTTTTTTTTTTTTTGAATAAATATTAAATATACCTTCAAATTGTTGAGTGTTATCAATTTATACCTAAATTGATTTGATATTAATTTTATCACTAAACTATTTTGATTTCTCGGTTAAAGCTTTCTATTATAATCATTATAAAAAAGTTAATACCATTACGTATTCTTATATAATAAATTAATTTTTTCTATATGTTTTTGAGAAAAAAAAACCTGGATATAATCTATTTTTATATTTTGATTTGATTTTTAACACATATATATATATATATATTTCCACGTGGCGCGGTCACAAGCAATGTCGGTCCCACACCCAAATACGATAGCGGGGCCCTTCCTTGCCGTCTCTATTGAATTTTATAGTTCCTTTTATTTTTCTTATACGCTGTTGCCATTGAGCCATTGACCTATCGCCCATAGATTTGGATTGGATCCTTTAAAAGATGGAAACGTTTATCATCTCTGCAAGGGTTTTAGCGATATAATCAGAATCACATATCAGGTTACGGGTATGACAAGTAAAATATCTTAACTGCTACGATAAAATTTTTAAAAGCGTATGCATTGGTTGCTGTGACAAATTTGTGCATAGATGATTACCTTCGCACGTATTGTTGAACCATGATGTGATTTTACCTCACGACAAAAACAGTATTTGACAATTCTGTTGATTAGTGTTTGTACGTAAAAAATAATTTTAAGTAACTAAATATTAGAAGGTTAACAGCCTCACTTATATTTATATAATATGTTAAGTTTTTAATATTTTCTTACATTCTAACACAATTTTTTTTATCTTGGTTATTTTAGCTGGTTTTTAATGTGTTTGTTTTAATCAATTTTCCAGCCAAATTAATTGAAAATATCTCATAACAACTTGCACATGATTTTATTTTATTTTATTTATGAAAATACTCATTACTGTTTAACATGTTAAATTTCTAATATATACTTATAAAATGATTTGAATTTCTAATCTCTCTTTAATGCTAAAAAATTCATTAAATTATTATTAATAATTTTCCTAATAATATATTGTACTATAGTGAATTTTTTGTTGATTAAAAATATATAAAAATAATTAGTATAAGTTAGTATGTAAGTATTTAAGGAATTAGTATTTAATATATTTTTAATGCTAAAGTGTCTATTATATTATTGTCATTATAATAATTCACTTATGTATAATATTGATCAAGTTAAAATAATATTTACCAATATATTAAATCATATATATATATATATATACATGTTAATCACGTGTGAAAAAATAAATAATTATATAATTAAAGAAAATATGTAATTATTATTTTAATTAAATGCTTAAGAGACTAACTAACAATTATTTAAATATAATTACTTTTTTTAATTACATGCTTAAGAGACTAATTAACAATCATTTAATTAATAATTATTTGTTTTTTGCATGTTTTTTATAGAGATAAATTAATATAATATTTATATATTAGTAAATATTATATTAATTTATTCAATATTATATATAAATAAATTATTATAATATAATGGACTCTTTAGCTATAAAAATAGGTTAAATGATAATTCAATGAACACTTACATACGGACTTATACTAATTATTTTGTATCTTTTTTAATTAACAAAAAAATCACTATAATGCATTAAGAAAATTGTTAACGATAATATAATGAATTTTTGAGCATTAATGACATATTGAAAACTCATCTTATTATATAAAGAAATATTAAAAACTTAACATGTTAAACTCGTAAGGGGTATTTTCATCAAAGAAAAAGTCATGGACATGTTATGTGATACTTTCAAGCGATTTGATTAAAAACAATTGATCGAATGACATATTAGAAACCAACTAAAATATGGATATAATAAATTCATATTAAGATATAAAAAAAGAATGAAAACTTGACGTAATATATAAAGATAGATGAGGCTACTAATCCTAAATATTATTTGATTAGATATTTTTGTTATTGCTATATTGCTTTTAGTTGTTTTTAGTATAGAAATAAGTTTGGTTAATATTTATTTATTTTGATTTTAAATAAAAGTATATATTAGTTAAGAAAAATACTCCAATATATATATATATATATATATATATATATATATATATATATATATATATATATATATATATATATATATATAATAAATTCATATTAAGATTTAAAAAAAGATTGAAAACTTGATGTAATATATAAAGATAGATGAGGCTACTAATCCTAAATATTATTTGATTAGATATTTTTGTTATTGCTATATTGCTTTTAGTTGTTTTTAGTATAGAAATAAGTTTGGTTAATATTTATTTATTTTGATTTTAAATAAAAGTATATATTAGTTAAGAAAAATACTCCATTATATATATATAAAACAAAGCTGCTTAGCAGGATAGCTTTGTTTTTTGCCATGCTTAGCAGGATAGCTTTGTTTTTAGCCAAAAACATAGATGCATATTATATGACTTATTTTTGAAAATTAAAATCACAACTCTCTATTAGTTTTTTATTTTAAACGCACACACATATATAATATGCGACCGGTGACTTGTAAAGCCGAGTTGGATTTACTTTTCCTAGATAAAATTGAGTAAAAACTTGATCCAAGTGAAAGAGGTGACAAAGGTAGCCAATAAACCGAGTAAAATTGTCATTGCCAATCGTAGGTGTTGTGCAAAAATCATGACTATGTTACATGATCATGACTGTTACATGAATTTTTTTAAAATTCAAATAATTATTGCATTATTGGAACCGGTGACTTGAAAATCCGAGTTGGATTAACTTGTCCTAGTTAAAATTGAGTAAAAACTTGATCCAAGTGAATGAGGTGACAAAGGCAGCCTATCAACCGAGTAAAATTGTCATTGTTAATCGTAGGTGTTGTGTAAAAATCATGACTATGTTACATGATTTTTTTTCTAAATTCAAATAATTATTGCATTATATATATATATATATATATATATATATTAAGGCTGGTAATCATATAAACCAATAATCCATCACTTACTAGTTATAAAATTTTGAAATTTAAATTATATCCTTTTCGGGAAATTATAATAATCTTTTTGAGGTATTGTAAAATTTTAAATACTATCCAAAAGTTGGGTGATTTGGAAGAAATCTATTCCATATTTAAACAAATGTTAGAGAAACAACCTTCGTAAGCAAAAAGCTCCCATTTATTCAAAATTACCCATACTTAGTTCAAATTTAATTTTTATTTATGAACGTTCTACTTTAAATACTTTGATATTGTTATTTCTTTTAAGAAAAATTAGTTAACCAAAATTTTATAATCCGAATGCACCACAAGAATGGAGTAAATTAGGTGTTTAGCTTAAAAAAATTTATTTTTTCTTTTTTCTTGAAACTCCAAATTATTTCAACGACCAATGTATATAATCAACAAATAATCTATATGCATCACAAACATAAATCATATAAAGAAAGAGTAGGGATTAAGAGATGACATTTTTGTGGAGAGAATTTATGAGAACTAATCAAATGACTAATCGACATACTAGTTATGATATAGAGAATTAGTGTTGTAATTTATAAAATAATGGTTTACCAACCAAATAAAATAGAT